TTCTTAGGAATGTCTAAATTCAGTTAAACTAGCAATTCCGTATTATATTTATAAATCTTTATAACATTATACAAAAATTAGATTTTTCTTAAAAATTGAAATTTTGCCGGGAATGGGGCTTTAAGCTGCCGAATTCGGTTCGTATGGTTAACGAAACGAAAAAAGAATATCGAATCAGTGGTAAAGAATAGAGGCGCGTTCTAAGACGCGCATCGAAAACGTTCTACGAACAGAATTCGGATTCGGTGTGAATCTGCCTTTATACACTTTAACAAGGTCATGCTTTGGTATATTGAAATAGTAATAGTAAGCATTAACGATAAAAAAAAAAAAGTATCTCAATTTTTTGGTGACTAGAAACAATAGCCACCACTTCCCCCTGTACACACTTTTGCTTGTAGGTTATACGTCTGCACATGTTAATTTAATTTAATTTAATTAATTTAAAAATGGTATGACAAAATGTATTTGATTACTATGTTAGCCATACCGATATATGATTATTTTAATTAGTCATTAATACTCTGTTGGTTGTTACACCGTGATGCAACATTAAAACTTTAAAATAAGCAAAACCATACCGGAATTAACATCATTTTAATAAATTCTAATAAAAAAAAACACAAACAAGGGGGGTTACAGGGGTGGGGGTGATTATAGTACTAGTTTCCAGTCCCCGTACCAATGACAGACAAACAATTAAAATCGTCTGATACGTTAAAGCAGCTTTTTGAGTTAAAACTTCTGATATGAGATTTCTTTAACTTTGTGTCTATCTGTTATACAACAACCCAAACATCAATACAATTTAAAAAACGATCAAAAAATGTAAATATTCATAGCAAATCCAAGACAATTATTTCTCTTCATTATTGTGTAGGTGCAGTTAAAAGTCGCAATTTGGTGAGACACTAATTTGGTGAAGGCTCTACCAATTTGTTCATTACAGACTAATTAATGGATATTATGGAAAACAGACCACAGAGAGTTGTTAGTTGGGTCAAGGGGTATGTGATTATTTGCAAATTTTAAAAGGTATGAAGTAATTACCAGTTTAATTCATTAAATGCTGCTTTAAGCTACAGTTTGTAGATTTGTAAACACTTCCAAAGGAGGAGGGGACACACCTACCCTTAGGCCCTCTCCCAGGTCGAGCATTTATAGTTAAACCCCTTCACGATTTACTGGATCCGCTACTGGCAAGATTGGTTTACTAAAATAAAAACAGAACGCATTAATGCCATGAGCCGTGCGAAAGAGTTGCTCCATTTTGGATTATGTTATTTTGTTTTCTTTTTGCAGTCGGTGATACTCGTAAGGGAAATTCCTGAGAGTCACTTTGAAAGGGAAATTACACAATGGTATATGTATTTTTATAGAACCTTTACATTATCATACCAGAGACGTTTTATTCACATTTCTCAGCAGATTCGTAGAACTGTAACGTCAATTATATGGCGCGCCGAATGCGTCAATAATGCAGTAACTCATTATGCAGTGGAAACCCGTTCGGTGGCATTACGTTGTGTGTCACATAGTGAGTAGGTTTTATAAAAGTCATTATTTCATTTCATTTCATTTCATTATTTATTTGGTCATTTACAACAACAACAACAAAAAAAAAAGCTGAAATTTGGGGAGACCAGGGACAACCAGAGTGAACCAAATCACTGTAGCAAAGCCGGTTTACC